TACGATGTGTTCGGAACAGTTCTATCGATAACCGAATTTTAGATAAAATCCAAATAAATAATGGGGAGAGTAGTTTAAAGGGTATCCCGAGAGGATACTTTAAGAATGCTAAATTTTAAGGGAATTTCTTGAAAAAAAATCAGAGAATTCCCAAATACTTATTTTAGATGTCCAAGACAGTTCTGTGATAAATTCCAAAGAATTTCCTAGTAAGATCATTTTAAAGGAGAATTATTCAGAATACTAGGATAATTGTAGATTAAATTCTAAGACGAAAGAGGTAATGTCTAAGGTTGTTATGGGCAAAAACTTCAAGTGAATGCCAGAAGGAATTCTCAAATTATTCAGGAGAATACTAAAAGCAATTCTGAAAACATCTTGGGGTGATTCTAAAAAAAATCCATAGATACCCATGAAGAATTATATCTTACATAAATCTTGAAATTATCTTGGTAATTCAAACATTGAAAATTTGTCCCTCGGACAAAGAAATTTGTATTTTTTTTTCATTCTGAGGCTTCGAACAGCTGTAAAGAATTCATACTAAAAAACGGCCCCGGTTTAACAAAACACTTCAACAGAGAAAGCCTGACTCGCACGGCACGAGTCGGACCTCATTATATGTAAGTCTGATTGGTAAACCACCTTAGCACCGAAAGAGTTATAAAACGCTGAAATGTCTGAAATTAAGGACTTCTGTTTATATCCCAAACTAAGGAAAATAAGTCGATAAGTATTTCACCTCTGAAAAGTACAAGTCAGTTTACATATAAAGATAGAGTTAAAGTACAGTCGAATTTCGCTCGTTGGGCTATCTTAGGGGTGGGCTACGTTTTAGTTGGGCTCCCGTTAGTTGAGCTGTAGCCCACCTAAATCGAAGTCAAACGTCATTTCTGACAGTGCTGATTCCTTTTCGAGGGGGCTCATGGATGAACAATTGGGTTCTTTAAGGGTATTGAGGTAAATGCATATTCGTAATCTGCATTAAAAATGGAACCCAAACCCAAAATTTCATAAATTTTGGTACACTGGAACTATTTTAAATAAGTACGATTACATTTGCAAAAATCACCTTATTCGCGCCCCTCGGTGTCACTTTGTATGGGAGCGAGCTGTCAGTTTGTCAGTTTAGTGTCAAACAGTGATGATATTATTTTGCTTTAAATCTTGATTTAAAAATCGAGATGAAAGTGTGTGGGTTCGAAAAAAATATCACTGTGCTCAGAAAACGAAGCTCTTTCAGATGATATATAAAAACGGACATATTTTTCAAAATTAAAGAACCCAATTTGGATCGTTGCTCAAGGATTGTGACAATAATGACAATAATCAATCGGTGTATCCTTCAACCAATTTTTAGCTTGACAGCTCAGCCCAACTAACGAAAGCCTTTCACTAAGTGGGCTATGGGTTTAGGTTTAGCCCAACGAGCGAAAGTTGACTGTACATACATAAAACAGAGGAAAAAAGTACGAACAGAATTCGATCAAAATATAAACAAACATATTTTGAGATTAAAATCTAGTCCCCAGTTATTTCCAGGTTCTCCCGGTGGAGTGGCCACCTTGAAGAAACTTCTGAACTAAGTCAGAAGCTTCTTCCGGCCGAAGCCAGAGAGTTTTCGGGACAGTCCAAAGAAACATCTAGGAGAAGTCCGGAAGAAAAAGATTTCTGGAGGATGTCGAAAGAAATTTCCGGTGTAAATCGGTAGAACCTTCACATACTTGTCCACTTCTTTTAGTAAGTTACAAGTACTTAAAAATATCATAGCATCGAATCTCGTGAAAAAAAATATAGTGTAGTGAGTGGAAGCAACAAGTTTATTTCAGGAACGATTTTATTCATGCAAATAGAAGAATACCAGTAATAGGATGCAATATACATTAATAGATGCATATCTAAGGTAGCTTGTTTTAGAACAGTCTCGCAACATTCTGTGGATTTGATACACCACGCGGTCACTCGGTTTATTTTTCCAAACGGGTCTTTAACAAAGTTCCTTTACGCGGCCTTTACTTTTCGAAATAAACAACCTCGTCTAATGAAAGACCGCATTGTTATTCCCCATGAGGATAGAGAAAACTGGGAGCGAAAGCACCAGGTGTCGTTTGGTTAAAGCGCCTTGAAGTAGGGGTATAGACGGGGCAAGATGGTCACCCTATTTTTAGTCCTCTGTTCGGGACATAACACCACTGCGACCAGTAATTTGATCTACTGTAGTATATCCCGTGTCCTTAGTTTAGTGCATGTCGTATTACTCTATCACTATTGAGAATTATGAAATATTCGATTTTTTTTACAGTTTGTCATTCTTGAATTTATCGCAAGGATCCGACTCTAATTGAAAGGTCCCGCTATTTATACCCTTCAGAGTGTTGAAACACCCTCCAAAGGCGCGCCTCTTTGTCAGTCAAAATTGGATTCGTTAGCAACAAAATTAAGGAATGACATCGATAATGACCATGCATCAGAACCCTAGTCTTAACCACTTCAAACTAGGGAACAACGAATAGAAGATTAAGAATCACATAGACATCGAAGACTAACTAACTAACTCATTTTTCCTTGTTTCAAGATCATCCTCGGTCCAAGCAACCCGAGGACTTACCACTATTAACTAGGCATAAAAAGTAACAAGGACTAAAATGTGTTCCTTTGACTACTGAAAAATCCAATTCCCCTAGTTTGAAGTAGTCAGGACTAGGAATCGGTGGTAGATCTTACATCCCGTAACGTACCACGAAAAGGTGATCTACCCGCGTTACGGGGCATGACCATTTTAAGGTTGACATCGTTTATATATAGAATAATTGCAATTAATACAGTCAATTATTATCTACCCTAGATTTTTCATGTCTGTTCTAGCACCTACGCATTGATACAATTAAATGATTTTGATTTTTTTTAAATAAATTTAAAAAAAACTAACTTTCTAACACCATTCTCAGACACCCAGGGGCAAGATGAGCATTATTTTTATGATACGAAATCGTTCATTTTATCAAAATGTGATTTCAGATTCGGATTCAGCGACCCAAAATTAAGTAAAATAAGTAATTCCACCGAACGTTTCAAAAGTATTATTTTAAACTACTCACTGAAACACTACATAAATGATCACATGAAAAATGATTGTTGGGAAACGAAAATTGAACGGTGTACGGTAAGTATGGATATTTTTCTTTACAGCAACCAGCGCGTGATTGTTTCATAATGTAAAACCGAACATCACATGTTCATGGATCTACCAAAGAATCGCTGTCGTTTGTTTGATAAATCAAACGCAACTTGGACAAAATGAAATAAATATACAACTGGGAAAAAAAAACCACTTGTATGCATAGAAAATCGTTGACTATAGAAATATCGACCTGTTGAACCCAATGCTTAGGGAATAGAGCGTTTTTTACTCTGATCAGCTGATTTCTCAACTCATGAATGAACCTCCTGTCAAGTAGGCTCCCTGGCTGTGAGAAGCAACATCAATATCAACCAATTCTGTCAGCCAAACCGACTCCTGTCATTTCGTAAAATAATGGACTATACCGCATGGTTCCGACCTTCGGTCCATAGTTCCAAGCAACGAAATCCAAAAGGCTCTGATTTTTTGTGCAGTTTGCATAACTACTGGCCACTCTGGTCTTGTGGTCTGTCACATGAACACAGATTATGTTCATACCACACGCTGGCTATCCATCTCGTACGCACACCAGCGCAATCACACGGCGGCGGCATGCGGCAGTGGCGGTTCGGACGACGATACCACATAGGTAACTCACCTAATCATTATTTTACACAAGGAGACCTTCCTCGATAAGAAAATGTACATGCACTTACCCTACCCATCATACCTATAGTTAACTCTTGGTAAGTCGGTAGAAGTGGGGGAGAGAAACAGCCGCGCCAGCCAACTGAAGGCGAATGACAATTAAGTAATGACGTCACATGACTAGTAGTTTTTTTGCTCCAATACAGCTTCGCAGCTTTGCATCGGATCACACTATGCAAGTGAGTCAAATTCAAAGAATTTCAATCGTCATAAAATCTTTTAGGAAATTTCAATGCCATTTGGAGATTGTCAACCGAAGCATTAGAAAATTTGCCAAGGAATAATGTAAATAGCCAAACGGGAAGATCTGTTCCCACCATGGGAGGGCAGGAAAATCGATATTGTTCTCTTGGATAAAAACTCCCACTTTTCAACTCTCGACAACACGAGAGAAAAGCTGCGGGAAGATGAAAAAGATGTGTGTGGGAGCATCCAAAATCGATATCAAAAGGAGAGCATTAAAAAGATCCCTTTTAGAAGACGCCCTAATGAACTAGTTTTGAGGAACTATTCGAAATATTCCAACTATCGTCATGATGCAAAAAAATCAAACATGCTTAAACTTTCAACTGGTCACGAGACCAGAAAAATATTCATCATAAATACATAAACACTTTAGTCAATGGAAAACCCCCACATGAAGGGTCCCGTGACCGGAAGATCGTTGCATGTGACAACCGTTTCGCCGATCATTTGGTTCAAACGAATTTCCGCGGGTACATCTCCCAGCTCTAGCATCCCGTCGTAGTAATCCTTGGCGGTCAGCGGTTCCTTAGCAATATCCAGTCCTTGGCCCCAAAATCAATAATAATCAACAACGGGAGGCGCTCTTCGATTTACTGATTCCCATTCGCTCGAACACACAACTACACTCATACATTCTACACATTTTCGTGTCATTCCTCGGGCAGTATTCCACGCATACCACTGAACACGGGGAACCTAATGTAAGTGGAAAAGTAGGCGAACAGACATGGGAAACACAGAAAATTTCACTTTTTTCCTCTTCAAAATGGACCTATCCCATCGATCTCATACGACGAAAGGTGCACCATCCATTTTTGAAACTTGTTTTCACAAACACACCCCAGAAGACATGACACATGACCAGGAACAGGTTGTAACCTTGTTCTGCTCGTCATCACCGAAAAATAAAGAAAAGTAGGCTTACCGCTGAAAATGATAGCAGAAGCTGCTCCCATGACTCCGAAGAAGGGTCCGTAGACGGGGTTTTCCTCTGGTAGGGCCATCTTTGATTTGTTGGTTGTTGGGTGATTCCTGGTTTTTTCTAAGATGAGTGCTGTTCGTCCCGCTGGAACTTGGGCTTGATGTGATTCCTCTTGAAGGCTGCTAGTCTCTGGTACTACACCAAGGAGAGCGAGAGGTCTCGGAGAAAGATGACTTACTCGACACACTCACTGTACAAAACTGAATGAACCTACGACTGGACAGGCTGGCAGAGTCTAGCAAATATGGCCTACTGAATAATCTTGGCGGTTTCGATGTGTGAATGCGCTGCTGCGATGTGCTTCGACGTTCGAATTCGTTCGACTTCTCCGAACTGAATTTGCCGTAATCGTAGTAAACGGTTTCTGTAGTATTGCGATGCTTGCGTGTACGGATAGGCCACTATTGCGATGTGTAGGTGCATTTTACACGAATGTGGTCACATGATCAGTTGGGCAAACTGTTCGTAGAAGATAGAAGGCGTTCGCTGATTGGATGGAATTACTGTGAATGCTTCACAGAAAAAGAGGGCAAGAAAATTGCTACTAGGCGAAAAGAGAACAAACTAGCGATGGTGGTGAGTTGAGGCATACACACGGTTATCATACACACACTTCGTCGGTTTCAATAAAGGCAAGTATTCGTTTGTTTTCAACAGGTATCGAAATTTTCCCCAAAAGAAGAACAATGTAAACTAGTTGAAAAACGAAAAAATAAATCAACCAATCAATCAAAGATGAAGAGCCCTTCCAGTTGAAATTTTAGATTAAATGTAAAAATCATAATTAATTGAAATAAAACGTAATTTTACTACTGCTAAATAGGAACAGTTTCAAAGGGAAGCAAATTACGGATGAAAACAATTCACCAATACAATTGCATCTAAACTTGGTTTATTTCCGGCAATGTGAATGAAGGAACGTTTAACGAAAAATAAAATTATGTATGGGATGGATCGCTTCAAAAATAATGTTTATAATGAGCAAAGGGATTTCAGGAAATTTCTTCAATATATTAATTTCAGAGCGCTTCGTTTTTAGTTCAGAGAATTTCGTAGAAGTTCTCTTCTTGTGAACTTTAAAGAACTTCACAGAAAATCAAATTTTTTTGTGAGTTTCCAAAAAGGTTTGCAACTCGGGTCTAATTTAGAAACATTATCGACAACATAGAATCGCTTTTTAATTTGTTTTTGCAAATCTCGCCAGATAACTTTCATGATAGGATCGCGTGTTCTTTGATATTGCCTCCTACGAACATTTTTAAGACAGATCGAGAGCTGAAGATCGTCTTCTATTATAATTGAATCGAATTTAATCTCGCATTTTAGTACTGAGGCAGCTCTTGATTCAACTATAAAAGTATTAGTCATTCAAAGATTCAAGAGCATAATTAACATCATCATTGGTTTTCAAAGGAATATTTGGATCAAAGCTTTATTCCATAAATATTCGATATTGCTCCCAATCAGCTGTATCGAGCTCTAGCAAAAATGCTGGATTTTCCAATAATCTGTTTAAAACGTCAAAGTCGACCATCTAATCATCCCATGAATTACATGAATTGTATAGTCATCATGAAATACGTAGACTTAACTCTATAGGTTGACTAAGGCTACTTTCTCTTTATTGATAGCCTTTTCAGCTGAATAAAACTATAGAATGGCCAATGGAATGTGCTAGGAAATGTGCTTGTAATCCTTTTCAAAATGGCTTCTTTGACATTTTTCAATAAATTGTAGCAATAAAACGTCACTTCTGATCAAAATGACGTCTTAGACAAAGATGTTTAGAAAAGTAAAGTCATTCAGGGGAAAATATACCCGGTAAATTTGTTTTATTATTTATACTCTAAGACTAGTATAGGTCCCGAAGAAACGTACGTATCAATTGGCGTTGACGGCGACTCTGTAGCTCTTTACTCCTATGAGAAAATCCATAAGCAAACGTCAGACTGTGCGTGAAACATGGCGGACTTTGTACTGTCCTTTCACTCCACCGAAAATTCCCATAAGAAACTGTCTATATTTGCTGAAAGAGCAAATTTCTCGACGGTGCCGTCAACGCCAATAGTACGTTCAGACTACAGAGTTATAACATCCCGCATAGAAAAATACCATTTCTAGAACAGTTCAAACTTCACTGACACCTTACTAGCTATGTTAACTTTTCACAAAATAGTTTTGTTATGGTTTATGGAATGTAATAAACATTAAAGAAACACTACTTTCAACTGTTACAGTTTCTGGTATGTTTCAGCTAAATTTTGTTACGGTTGATCAACTATACTGAACTGTTACAAAACATTACGAATAAAAGTTGTAAACAACTTGTACAACGCTTACGTGTTTCGATTATGGTTGCTTTATGTTTTTACAATTTGTACAAACAGAAGTAAACGCTTTTGATTGAAACGGTGCTCGTGAGTTCATTGTGTTGTTTTGTTCGTTATTTTATTTTTAAAACCCTTGGTAATATTAGCTTAAAGCATAAAATATTTCTTAAAAGCGCATGCATTTTCTACACAAATATTCAGGGCTAACAGCGGTTTACATGTGAAGGAGATTTCGATGTTGGTGGCTCACATCATCCAAAAAGGAAATCGAAGCAGGTACGTTATGCCGGGGCCTTTTTATCTTCCAGAAATGGAATGGAGTTTGTTTTGCAGGGCAAATTCATTTATCTATTCATTTTATATTAGATCAATAAACATGTTACCAAGAGCAAGGGAGGTGTCCACAAAAAGAAATCTTGTAAATCACATTAAAATTAAAGAACAACCCATGATGGCTGTATTCCGGATAAGCTACGACAGTATTTATTATAACGTCAATAAGTATAGTAATTTATACCATTTCATAGTATATCATGAAGTTAACAACAATGGTTGGTTCTAAACCGTACTACCTTATTCGAAAGTTAATGGAAATAGTTTCACATATCCAACTAGAACCTTTTCTGATGTGGTAAGGCTATAGTTGTTTTGCTAAAAATGTATGAGAAATAGCGAGATTTCGTATGGTGAACGTTCTTAACCACCCATTGTTCATATGGTTGGGTCTTCGAAAACCTTAACCAATATGGTCAAAACTTTATCTAGGTATGGTTTGATTAAAGTTGACTGAACCTTTCTCATTATGGTTTTCAGAGGAAGATAAACCATTTTTAATGTGGTAATCGTATGGTTGTGATTTATGCGGGATGATAGGGGAATTTACGTATTCTCGTCAATCTAAGCAGCGTCTGCACTTCTACTAGCATTTTCTCAGCGTCACACACATATATGATGTGTCTGTTTGTTTACATTCATCTGCTGCTTGCTTCTCTATCCATTCTAATCGACAGAATTTTTCAAAACGTTTTGAAAGCGTTTTTACAACGCTCCAAACTTCTCAGGTGAACTGCGTGTTAACCAGCTGTTCTATTATCGGCAACTCGAAATCCACCCCATTTTGTAGTGCGTATGCTTTATTTGAAGAAAAATGTAGCATTACTGGATTGCTCGATCGTTCAAATATAATCAGATTGAAGCTGAAAGGCTAAACAATCGTTTGGACACATTCAAGGAAGTGCGTTGATGGGAAAACATAGTGAAATTAACGTTTAAATTTTGGTTGCCGAAAACAGTCAATGGGTGCCGAAGCCAACATTTACCCTACTATAGATTAGCGGGAGACACAAAATGTTTTTTTTTTTTTTGAAACCATGAAAAATGACCATCAAAGGTTCTCTTCGCTGTGCAATTTTGTTTCGTGTGCAAAAGTTCGAAATAAAGTGCTAAGCAAATCCTTGCAACAATGAATCGAGGAGTGGTTTGCGTACACACTTAAAACAGATTCGCGAGGTAGGCAGAAAAAATACTGAGCTGACACCTCGGCTGACACGGTAATTCATAATTTTACTGATATTTCAGCAACCAAAATTTTTTTCCGAGGTTGACCAAAAACATTTGCCGAAATATCAGCAATTCATTAAAATGTACCGAGATTCGGCAAAGTAATTCGCTGAGCACATCAAAAAATAAAAATATTACCGAAATCAGCAATCACGCTTACTCGAGATTCGGTATTGACCTCATCCATTGCCGAATTTCGGTAAAACAGCTGTCACTTTTTTTTTCCACCTGCCATTTTCAGAAGATCAGAAGTGAATCGTTGGCTGCGTCATTTGCTTTAAAATTAGCTCTAAATTGTGGAATAATGAGTCAACTTCTGATTCAAGTGCAAAAAGAGGACGTAATCATCGAATGAAATTCAAACAATAATATTGGATCGTTATCGTGATGCATTCCGTTTCATCAAAAATTATTTTCTAATGTCGTTTTCGTTTTTGCGGTGTAGCTACACCGGTGCTACACCGCCGAACACCGAACATTTTTAGGGTGTAGCTATCGATTGAACATTTGTTTACAAACAAATGATGATGAGCTGTCAATGACTCGCGCTTATTGCTGCTTACACTACACCGGTGTAGTGTAATAAAAACGAAAACGGCATAAGGACAGTCGTGCGACAAAAAACCCAACACGTAGACTAAAACCTAAAGCGCTCGAGGAAGCAGGATCCGAACCTGCGAAAGATGAACCCGCTCTATGGTATAATCCAATGGATTAATGTAAGATCAAAGATTGTTCTGTTTTGTTTGAGTGAAAATAATTCCTGTTTGGTTTAAAATTTCAGTCCAACAAGAGTATGGACGCCCCGAATAACAATTGTTGAACTTCTAGGAAGGGAAGTGCCATGTTATTTGGGATAACGTGGTTGTCGGAGCAGGACCGGATGTACTGCAAGCGTTCGTGCTTCTCTGTAAGGCGTTCACAGTTTGTCCAACAACCGAATTTTTTGGCTTTTTAATGCAGCATGTTGTAAAATTTACCAAATGAGCACTACTCATTTACTTTTTTATAACTATAATAAAAAAGTATTCTTGCTCGTGAGATTAATTACTCAAATAAGGGTATTATCCAAGTAGCAGCTGTCATCCACAACAGTAATTTTAAAAAGCTTGCCAATCTATCTGATTTCATCTTTCTTCACGTTTTGGCTGTATCCCATAGGAACGTATTTTCACTTTTAGAACCACAATTAAATTATGGACAGAAGTAAATAAATGTTATGATTTCAAGGAATGAGAATCCAGCCAACATTCATGTACCTCGTTTTTTCTTCACAGGATGTTAGTATTGATCCAAACAATCAAATCGGTGATGGATTTAAAATATTTCATCTTGGGTTTTTTGAGAAAAGTCTTTTAAA